AAGCAAAATATTTTTTTATAACAACAGTTAATAAAGGCAATATATGCTTATGTATAGGGGAGAATACAATATTATACACAAATACAAATTTATAAACTTTTATCAGACCATATAAACGCATCAGAGTAGATCCCATCATAAAATTACAAACCGCCAAACATGTTTGAGAAAATAATATTAACTAGCGTAGCAGCGAAAGCTTCAGAATTATATGAACACATTTGTACATGGGTAAATAATTTACTGAAAAAAATTACCAATTTAACAATTCTGGCGGACATTTGCAGTGATGACATATTGTTTTTCGGTTTATTTCATTTCCATCGATATATAATTCTAATATTTGCATATATTGTTCATCAGCCTTGATTGACTTCTCTGCCGATCGCAACACTGAAGAAAAACGTTAGTTAAAAAAACAATTTATTCCATTCGTATATATTCATTCATTCAATGGAAGTTATATTAACTTCGTGATTACGTTTGTAACACCTCGAAATACTCATGCATTTTACCTCTATTTTTCCCAATTCCTGAGTAAATCAATAAGCGCAATAGGCAAAGGTCAGCTGACCGGCATTTTATATAATTGGAAGCTTGTCTGAACTATTAGGATTTGTAAGTTGAAATAGGTTACAAATATGGTTCGACCATATAATTCAATTTTTTGTTTTGATTTTCAATGATTGCGTGTGTTGACCTACTGTTGATATAATTTAAAATTACTTAAAACTGCAGTTGAGTGAGTATCATACCACTATAATCACAAAATACTCTGTAATAGTTTTTCACGTACTTCCAAACCTCCTTGTCATTGACGAAAATCCCTACTAAGAAAGTTTCCCCTATCGTTCAAATGATGGAATATTTCAAATTCCATGACGTTCCTTCTGTATCACATTCTGCTGATCTAGCGGCAATACATCGTTCGCAACGATCTCTGGTGGTTCGGGCCTTCGTGGCTTCGAGAGTCCTCAAAATAAATGGCCAGACTTCGTTCATATTCAAGAAACTTGTTTTATATGTAAACCTCTGAAAGTTCACTCATATTTCAAGTTCACTCATAGTTCTTCATATTTCAAGAATTTCTACTATATTCTGGAAATTGATATGGTTTTTCCACATTCCATTTCTAGCTTTCAGTTTGGAATTACTAGTGGTCTAAAATTCACTGGTCAAATTGTACCAAAAGATCCATTTTCCTAATGAACACAAGTCTTACCTTGATCTTCCAGAAATCAGATCAATGAATAATCCGTTATGCGTACGCTTAAATTTTTTCCAGGAATTTCATACGATATAAGTGGCCGATAATACCTACATATAATTGCAATTTTTTTTAGAAGAAAAACTTGTCATAAACTTTGGTGGAGTACTCAATTGCCGAAATAGTACTGATATAGAAAATAGTATGTTGGGGTTATTTGTCAAAACAAACAACAAAGCAAAGGTGAAATTGGATTTAGGATGCACTTCTATTCCAGGGAAGCAAACGTGGTTGAACGCTCCAATAATATTAATGCTGTCGCTTTCAGAATAACTTCTCCCGAAGGATCGAAAAAGTGCGCATCTAAGAAATTAAAGGAAACTTTGGCAAGCTATTGCTGAAACTTTCAATATGTATGGGTAAGATAAGAAATCATTGGACTTATGTTGATTGGCATCTTCAGACAAATATTTATATATCAAAAGTTTGAACCAGACAGTTAGAGTTCTATACCACAATATTGAGCAACTAAAAATCCATTTCGAAACACGCATTTAGCATTCACCATTTGAATTTCATGTTAGCCAATATATAGAATAGAAACACCTCCGACGAATTGGACTAAAATTCGATTAGGTATTGGGATACCTACTTGTTTAAAATTTAAGTTACTCTGCCGTATTATCCTTCCTATGATTCGTACGAGACATATACAAATTCTAAAAACCGATCTGTCAAATTTCATTAAAGAGGGTGCAGAAATAGAATTAATTTTTTAACACATAATATGGATTCCATAACATTAATATTTGTGTGGCAGATCAAACAGTTTATACATATCAAAGCTGATGGACACCATTCATCAGATTAAGTTATAAGCTCATTATGCCTATATTCCATACTAATTCATACTCACGTTTCACTTAGGATATAATCATAATCCGATTGCGATCGGTTTTGTTTTAGGACCTCACAGATATGTTTCGTCCGATTGCGCATCTAGATTATATTAAGCATCAGTCACATAGCCAGAGTGGTGTAGAAGTCAACCCAACTGGAAACTGCTGCAATGTCTGAATATGGATTTTGCCATGTTTAATTTTAATAATTTTTGAACATACAAACGATTAAACGATGTGGGTAAATTTTGCTTCATTGACGGGCATAAAATTATGTCGAATGGTCCTGTGTTTGAACTAAAAGTTCTTTGCCAACTCACTAAATAATTGTATTGTACACCATTAACATATCGAATTGCAATCGTTGAAACCTTTTCTATACCCTCAAAGTATATGCATTCTTGATGAGCAACAAAACGACATAGTGATTTAGTGATGTCCGTCCGTCTGTGAAAATCACTCTAGCTTCCGAACGAAATGAAGTAGGTTGATAAAATTTTACTCAAATGTGTATTATGTCTGCAGGACTTTTGGTATTTAAAATGGGTGAAGTAGGTCCACATTTTGGTGTAGCTCCCATATAATGGTACCTACCCTTTTTTGGTATTTTGGTGATTTAAGCGACATTATTCACCGGAAATTTTTCAAACTTGGTGTCTGAAGTTTGTAATGGGTACTTCAGCCTATGACAGAAAATTGTCTATTCATGTCTACGTCTTCGTATAGCCCCCATATAAGGGTACCTCCCGATATTCGGTAGTTTAATGATTTTAGCGACATTATTCACCGGAATTGTTTCAAATTCGGTATTTGAAGTTCGTAATGGGTACCACAGCCTTTAACAAAAATTGTATGTATTGGATAGTAAAAATAACGATGGAAAGGCAGGCAGAAATGTCAAGATTAACGTACAGTATGACAATATAGGTAAGAAACAATTCCCCATTTACAAATTCAGCATTAATTGTTTTAATTTTCATTACATATATTATACTCAATAATTTTTATTTGTGTATTTATATTACAGATATTCCACAAGTTCCAAGGAAAGGTGCAAGTAAAAACTGTATTAATTTCGGTCTTTACGAGGGGGATGGTCTGCTAAAGTTATACCCACACGCACACAAAATGGCAAAACTATTCTCATTATCACAACTAGAGAAAAATACAATGTAAAAATAACTAAATATCCAAAAATTGCTTTCCAAAAGGAACAGCCACCTCCTCCTGCTTATTTTTATAATCTGATATTTCGCGTTCTTAGTAGTAGAATCTCTCTTCATAAAAATGCAATGTCGACATTGGACAGATATCTTTAAATACAAAATAAACCAAGAGGTATCGCTATATGAGAACTACATATAATCCTGGACCAGTTTATATCATTTTAAATATAGCACATCATCAAACAATTTAGTCACGCCCTTCAGACAGTTGAAATAACAGTACAGATCAAAAACTGTTATTAATGTTTCAGCTCTCTTGTTATTGAAAAGCAAAGTATTCTTAGTAATACATGAAAATAACATAAATTCTACAATTACAGACAGAAAGAAATCCCAAAGCAAAAATCATTGCAAAAACTGCAAGAAATGGCGGAAGATAAGTAAAAATCTCATTTCGAAGGAAAACAAAAACAAAGCGAAAGAAAATTAGAAATACCGGAAAAATGTCAACACATTGCAACTCTTTTTAAAATAGAATTCTATTTACTGTTTATTGGTGTTTAATAACACACGTTATAACATAATATTACTTATTATCAGAAAATTCTAATAAAAACTGAATTAAAATTTAATTTTTTCGTATTTTGTTGTAGCATAAAATTAATATATGTATTTAATGTATTAGTGATTAATAAAAATTAATACACATGTACACAAATTATACAATTTATTAAAATTCTAAATAAATTTTATTTAAATATTTTTAAAGTGTTTAATGTATTATATTGTTTTTGCATACATCCACATAATGAAGTTTTGGAAATAAAATAAACCCAGGCCACTTGCAGTTACATGATGGGCTTCCCTCTGTAATAGCAAAATAAAAAAAATCTGTGCGAATCTACTATATATACTTTTATCACAAACCATTTTATGTAATTTGTAATTCTTCGCATAGTAGGTCTCGAAAGGCATTATTCGATGACAAACCATTACTACTGTCATCTGTATCTACCAGATTATGCAGAACGCAGCAGGACCTTATAAAGTGGCACAGCTTTTTGATACCCCTAAGCATGCAGTAATAAACGTTGCTTTAATATGCCAAACGTGTGTTCAATAGCAACACGGCCTGAGCTCAGCTTAGAATTGAATTGTTTTTTCTAATTAGTGAGATGGTCATCGTCACTATAGGGCGTTATTGTGTGTCTTCTGCAGGGATACTCAGAATCTCCCAAGATGTAATAATCTGTACACAAATATTCAGTAAGACCTTGTTAGATGGTGAATTTGTGCGTTTTGCCGAAGATCATATACCGCCAGCCTATGACTTACAACCGTATATCATAACCATTTGGCTAAGTTTGTCTAAATGTTCTAGAATTTTATCAAAATTTTATAGAAATACAAGAATATTTAAGGAAGAGAAACAAGTAGATTTGGTAAATATTATCTGTTTGTGAACGAGATACAAGAACGATTTGAGCGATAATGTCCATCTTTGAACTCGATCTAGAATCTATAAAATATTGCAAAAATGCAAGCTAAATTGACTGGTGTTCTGAAACGGATCCAAATGTCCTGATTACTAAATAATTACTAACTTTTTGATTTATAATTGATATAGGCTGTGGATATAATGAAAAGAGGGTCAAATCATCTAACCTCCATATTAATTTTCCAGATTTCGACAAATTGGCGAATTCTGTAATATCCATGGTACAATGATATCAAGGTAGGGCAGTGCTCACAGCTGAGTACAATTTTTTTTTAAATTATGGCCTATATTGTCAAAGCAGAGTTGATATTTTTGTGACTGATGTGACAAATTCGTTACTTCAAAATCAAAATTAATTTTTCAAAAACGTCATAATTTTCAAATTTTGTATTCAATTTTCGCGAAAGTTTAAGTTTGTTAAACATAACTTATTTATTTCAAATAAAAAAAAAATGAGAAATTGTGCAGTGTGTAAAAAGTTAGTTTGTGAACAAACAAAACATTTTTTTAAAGTGCCTATTGATATCAAACGAAGATTGAAATGGTCTGCAGCTTGTGGCGTTGCATTTAAGCCAAAAGATCGTATTTGTGAAGACCATTTCCTACCAGCGGACGTGATACAACGGAACACAAGATGTTCTTTAATGCCAAACGCTGTTCCGTCTATTTCCTTGACAAACATTTCCGAGTGAGTAGGCGTAATTATTTTGCCAAAAAAGAAATAACGATTTGCTTTTAGGAAGTATTTTTCAAAAATTACTAAAAGTCAAGGCAATATCGTACCATACACGGAGTAAGTTTCTTAAATATCAATTTCAATGATGTAGATATAACCCTTCATACTTTTAAGAAGTCCTATGCTGAACTCGACACAATTCCCGGAAAAAATGGACACACAGACAGAGTAAGTTCCTCTGAGATATCACTTCCTGTAGTTCTTAATTGTAATATATACCACTCTATGGTGTAGAAAAAGAAAGAATATTGATCCATATTTCCCGATATGGATCCAAAAATTCCAGAAAATGTGTTTCTTTGCACACATTTCAGAAATTTATAGTCGAACTTGTCATGCTCATCCGTCTTTCTCTGTCTGGTGTGCACCATAGATGGAAAAAGATAAAAAGGAGAGCAAAACTTATACATAATTTTTATTTATTATTATATTATTTTAATTGTGTTTAATTTCAGATTTGTTTGGATGGAATATAATGTTCAAATGATAGATTCAGCAGCACAAACCGAGTGAGGTTTTCATTATTTGAATATAACATATATTTATTTGGCGCAAATTGAGATCAATATTAATTATTTCAATGAAGTGCTATAGTACAAGCAACAATTACTCTTACAATTAGAAGGGAAAACAGTTGACAAAGAAAAATTCGTTAGGGTTAACTGCGAAATATCATCCGAAATTCATAGGTCATTTCACTTTGAGAACAGTCAGGCTTTAAAAGATTGTTGTTTTTGCCAAATTCATATGTCTTTATTAGAGGACTGTAAAGCAGAGCTATTTTGTCTGGGTATTACATAAAATATATATATGAAATCTTGGTGTTTAGACAAAATTTAGACATTTACTATCTTATCAGACCTATGGTGTAATTTTAGACAGATATACATTATATTTTGACATGCTACAATGCAATTTAAATGCAGTTTTTACCAAATTTAAAAAAGGACCTTATTTTCGGCCAAAATAATTCTCGTGCCTAAAAATCAACGGATTATTAAGAGTTCTAATTTGAAAATTTTAGAAAAGCGGTAAAGAGGGACATTTCTCCTCTAATTATCTTTTCTGCGACGTAAATTTCAACAAGTAAAAATATCCTTTACCATTTGGAAGAAATTAAAAAAAATCCGTCGGAAAATACCGCTCACATGAAATAATGGGGATACGAAGACGTTAGAACTTGACCTGCCTGCAGACAAAAGATAGATCTGTGCTTTCTAGTAGGACCAACTTTTGTAATATTGTAGTATGTTAATCTATAATTTGGAGATAAATCAATTACCATGAAATTATTTTATATAATTTTACTTAGGCCCATAGAATTATATAAAGAAATGCGTAAAAAGAACGAAGAAAACGAAGAACTAATTAGAAATCTACGTTATGAAAATAGCGAACTACAGATTAAACTCGCGGAATCGGAAAGATGTATTGCTCATTTCCGAAAAATATTTACAGAGGGCCAAATAAGAAGAATTATTTCTCCAAGCTCTTCGCAATGGAAATGGGAAGATATTTCCCAGGCAACATGCCTTCATGCCGCCGGCCCAAGAGCATATAAGCACCTTTACAACAAAGGATATCCTTTACCAAGCGTTTCCACATTAAAAACTTGGGCTCGGAAAGTTCAAGTAAATGAAGGAATTATGTCGCCCGCTCTTGATTTAATGAAACATAAAGAGGACCTCTCTGAAGAAGACAGGATATGTGTCCTTATATTTGATGAGATGAAGGTAGTTGAATCATACGAATATGACCCTGCCAAAGATCAAGTGAGAAAACCTGCAAACTATGCACAGGTAGTAATGGTTCGGGGTTTGCTTACATCGTGGAAGCAACCCATATTCTTCGACTTTGATCGGGAAATGGACAAGGTTACATTGTTTAAAATAATCGAAAAACTCAACGGCGCTGGTTATACTGTTGTTGCGATTGTATGTGATATGGGCCCAACAAATCAAAAGTTATGGAAAACATTAGGCATTTCCCATGGTAATATATTGACTTCACTGTCTTCCTATTACAATTAATATTAATTTTATTTAAGATAAGCCATGGATTCCAAACCCTGTCAACAAAGGGAACAAATTTTTGCATTTGCAGACGCTCCCCATTTACTGAAGTTGTTGCGGAATCATTATCTAGATACAGGATTAAATTATAAAGGACACGTAATTACTAGCAGAACAATTGTGGATTTGTTAAAGCACACGTCCAGCAGCGACACATCAATTACATTCAAAATAAATAATGAACATTTAACGGTGAATGGACCCGGTCAGTTTATTTCCGTCATATGCATTACAATCACAATAATCCGTACTCCAGTCTCTATTGTTAATAAATCGTTGCAGTAAGGATGGTATATGTCGGTTAACTCTTTCAGACCCCATGCACGAACGAGGAAAATTCTACATAGTCCACGATTTAGTCTAAACTTCTCACATCGTAATGTTTTTACCGAACGTAGATTCATTACCCTCGCTCAAAGGTCCCACATTGTATGAAAATAACTTGCATTATATCCATACCTGTTCCAATCTTTGCAAATAATAAAATAAATTAGTTGCTAAACGTCCTTCTGGTATTTTCCGATACATGGTCAACATTCTAAATCTCGTACGAAGCAAAATATTTATATATTTGCCAACGCAGTGGCACATTTTACTTCCCCTCAGATGTCGTGACAAATCCAGTTTCAGACAGTTTGGGACCTTCGAATGGGCTTGATTTCGATTAATTGAGTTATTTTTCGCATACGATATAATTTTATACATTTCATTTTTTTACCAAGGTTATAGTCACCTAAGTGAGTTTTGATAGGTTTTACATTTCAATAGCAAGCCGATGAACATATGAATACATTTATTTAATTAAAGGAAGACAAAAAGTCAAATTGGCGGCACAACTTTTATCCAATACAACAGCAAATGCAATATTACGATGTGATGCCCATGGTCATGAGATGTACCAACCACACATAACATCCGAATTTATTCAGCTGGCAAATGACTGGTTTGATATACTAAATTCCAAAATTAATACGTTCAATTACCCAGGAAAGGTACTTAACAAATATCGTTTTTATACCCTTCACCATAGTATAGAGGGTATATTAAGTTTGTCATTCCCTTTGTAACACCTTAAAATATAAATTTTACCCACCCCACAAAGTATATATATATATTTTTTTTTATCAGCATAAAATTCTATGTTGATGTCTGTAGAAATCACTCAAGCTTCCGAATGAAATGAAGTAAGTTGATGAAATTTTACTCAGTGTATATAATGTCTGCAGGACTTTGGTATTGAAAATTCCACGTTTTCGTATGGCCCCATACAACGGTATCTCCCGATATTCGGAATTGGGATGATTTTAGCGACATTATTCACCAGAATAGTTTACAATTGGCATTTGAAATTCGAAATGGTAACTACTACCTATAAAGAAAATTACTTATGCAGGTCCACGTCTAAGTATAGCACCCATACAAGAGTACCCTCGTATATTAGTTTTTTTTTAATTTTTGGCAAAATGGTGGAGAGAATTAAAAGTTCGGCCAGGCCAAACTTATCTGCTTTTTTTCTTATTTTTTAATGCTCTTATAACATGATTTTTTCGTAAAAACACTTTAATAGGAACCATACGGAATATCGAAAGAGAGGCAGAACGAAGTACTGAGGAGAATGACAGAAGCTGTTTCTGAACCCATGATTCCAGGGGAAAAAAGTCTGTGTGTTTTTCAAAAAGGTATCATGATGACAAATAATGCTCTATGTATGCTTTATGAATATCTTCAAGAAAAATTCGGCGTGAGATATATATTAACAAACCGATTAAATCAGGATGTCTTGGAGAACTTTTTCGGAGCACTAAGGAGTAAAGGGGGACTAAACGACCACCCGACTCCCAAGGATTTTAAATACAGAATGAGAAAATATATTCTAGGTTTGTGTTAATGTACATGTTTAGCAGAATATTAAGTATCACTTACCATTCTTATCTTATTTATCTAGCTAGAAACACGGAATTAATGGATAACACAGGAAATGTAAATAATGATCCTACGCCATGGGTATCTTCCTTACATACACCTATAGCAACTGAAGAATTCCCCTTCGAACAAAATGATGAAAACCAAGTAAACGAATATTTAGAAGAAATAGAAATAAAAGATTTTCCGGATATCGGAACCCTGAAAGATGATGCGCTGGAGTATATAGCGGGATGTATGATCCGAAAGCTAAACATCCCAGAGCACCTATGCGAAGAAAAAACATTTACTTGGGTGGATCAAGTATCAAAAGGTTTTCTAAAAAAGCCCTCCAGAGATTTTTTGCTGAAAATACTTCAACTGGAATCAATTTTTCACAGTTTAAACGGCGACAGAATTGATCACAGAGATAAATTGCACAGCCGAATGTGTGAAATGAGCGAAAATGTGGACATTGATTACAAAGTAAAGCAATATTTTTTCAAATGTCGTATTTATTTTCGCATTAAGCATTTGAATGTGGGGTTAAAAATACAAAAGGCTAAGCAGCGAATTTCGGGACAAAAAAGCTATTAAAAATTCAACTTTAACTGAAAATATATGTAATTGATTATCTGTTAAATACTCCATAGATTAGAAACTATAACTGTTAATATTATAATAGACTAAAATTTAATTAACAATGTCAATATATACACGTTTGTAATTAGATAAAACGAGTCGGACATAGAGCATATGGAACATAAATATGAACTATTTATATATCTGTAATTTTTTGTTCTTTGAAATAAATCTAAAAAACAAATGTATGCATAATTTAATATAAATATCGGTGATTATTAGTTAATAGGTAAGAGATATTGAGATGTGCCAAATTTGAAAATAATCGGATGCGAATTTCCCGTTTTATGAGCTTCATTGGTATTCAATATGTTGACCCCTTTGTGGGGGAGGTAACAGAAGGAGTGGATCGATATCTGCCATCTTCACGCAGGATCCTATGCTGGTATAAATGTTGGGATATGAGAAATTTCAAGAGAATTGGATGCTTATTTGGTATTCTATTAAAATTATAAATATTCAAACTGTGGACCATTTGTTGGGGCCGATATTGCATATTTTCACCCCTGGTATAACATTGACTCTAATATTGCCTCTCCAAAGTAGTTTGGCAATAATATTACGATGTACTAACTTTGGGTCGAATCGGATTCTCCCTTCAAGAGTTATCGCGCGCACGAGCCAGACAGACCGACGAGCACGCCTAAATATGGACAGATTCATCTTGAAACAGTCATCTTAATATAACACAAGTGGGCCCTTCTTTTCCACGTATCACATATTTTGTGGTATTTGAATGCCTGTTAAGAACACGTTCTTGGGAATTTTACCAGAATTCGTAAACAAATAATTCAATAGGAGTGGGGCTGGTCAAAAACAAACATTTTCCTTCCTATTAAAAAAAAAAAAAACACAAAGCTCTTGAATTAACCATAACGTTTTATTTAACTTCACAAAACAATTAATTTTACAAATATCGCGTTTTCATGAATGAATATCTTCCGTTAAAAATAACAAATTTCATTAAAAATAACAATAACAAAACAAAAAATACTTTTCATAACAAGTTTTGTGTCTATGGCTACTGACGTTTGTCATCGTGTGACATTATTAGCCGTGGGTAGAGAGTTGTATTTTCTTTGATTTTTTAACTTTGCCCTACCTTGATATCATTGTACCATGGTAATATCCAACTATCATGTGAGGTTCCAAGGTATCCAAAAAAATAATTATAAATCTTCATTTCTCATTACAGATACCCCGCAGTTGAATTGAAAAATTTCCTTTTGGATCAACGTAATCATTTCTTGAGTTCTTGGGAGGGTCTATGACAACATGTGTCCCATCTATACATCCTACTCAAAATTAAATAGTACGTATATATTATATACGAGATCAATTTATATTATGGAACTCACCAATTGCTCCCGTAAATCCACACTTAATTTTAAAAAAATTCGCTTGAAGCAGATTTTTCTTCTTCTGTAGGTCATTTAATGAGCTGCGGACTTAATGAGCTTAAAAATGGTGTGATCCTCGAAATAATACGAGAAACTATTGAAATGGTCACATTAAATCTATCTGACAAATCTCTAAAGCTTCAGGTCTCGTGTCGTGGACACAATCTTTTATCTTTAAGTAGGGCGTTTCCGTATGGGCATTTTTTGGATACCGTTCAGAAGGAACTTTTAATCATATCTTTTTTATTTTCAATAAAATATTCCTCTTATTTATATACCTAAAGGCACGGATTCCGTGCAATCTTTATCCGAGAATTTCCTAAAATGTGGTAGATAAGTTAGAACCAGACAGTTAGAGTTCTATACCACAATCAGCATCACCATTCCGTCTAAGAGTTTGAATTTCATGTTAGCCATTATATAGACTAGAAACACCTCCGACGAATTGGACTAAAATTCGATTAGGTATTGGGATACCTACTTGTTTCAAATTTAAGTTACTCTGCCGTATTATCCTTCCTATGATTCGCACGTGACATATACAAATTCTAAAAACTGATCTGTCAAATTTCAATAAAGAGGGCGCAGAAATAGAATTAATTTTTTAACACATAATATGGATTCCGTAACAATAATATTTGTGTGGCAGATCAAACAGTTTATACATATCAAAGCTGATGGACACCACTCATCAGATTAAGTTATAAACTCATTATGCCTATATTCCATACTAATTCATACTCACGTTTCACTTAGGATATAATCATAATC